GTCATCTAATCACTGTTTTGTGTTTTAGGACACTGAGGTGATCAGGTAGACTGGTCTGTTCTTGTGGCACTCACATTTTATAATGGGAGAGATTGCAAAACAACAATAAGGACTGTATTAGAGTAACAATGTCAGGTTAGTACAGACGTAAACTCGAATGGGTGGATGGGAATGTATTTACATTGGACGCAGAGGAAGGGCCTCCCATGAGGAAATGACATCTAAACCAAAATCCGATTTATTGATTTATTTATTGGTCTTTTTGAGACAGGGTCTTTCTGTAGCCCCAGCTGGCCTGGAACTCACTTTGTAGACCAGGCTGGCCTTGAACTACAGAGATCCGCCTGCCTCTGCCTCCCAAGTGCTGGGATTAAAGGCGTGTGCCACCATGCCCAGCCCCCAAATCTGATTTATAAGAAAGCCTTGTAGATGGTGGGATTGGAGCATGTGAAAGGTGAAAAGGAATTTACTCACTGAGAGGGGCAGGTGAGCTGGAATGTAGTCAGCAAGTGGGCAGTCGGGCTAGCATGTAGGAATCTGCAAATCCAAGCTATGGAGGTTGGGGTTTTTGTTTGTTTTTGTTTTTTGAGACAGGGTCTCCCTGTAGCCCCAGCTGGCCGGGAACTCACAGAGGTCCACCTGCCTCTGCCTCCAGAGTGCTGGGATTAAAGGTGTGCACCACTGCACTAGGCAAGACCACATTCTTGATACTTGTCTTAGTACCTGGGTTAACAGTGGTACTATTTGTCCGAGGAAGAATGGGGCTTGAATAAGGAAATATTGCTTTGATTATATTAAACTGGAACTACCTATGGTATTCCAAGTACAATGTTAAGCAGGCATTTAAATAAACTACCCTGGAATTCCTGGAAATGAGCTGAGGTACTTGTTTTTAGCTGGAGAGCAGGTACCAGTGAGCAATCTTTAGAAAACTGTTCTCAAGAGGTGCCCAGATTCCAACCCCAGTGTATGGTTTACTTTTCTGGATTTTCTTTCCCACCTATAAAACAGGTAACCCTTGGTTCAGAGGGTTTGTTGGGAGGCTAAAGAGGACAGGCACAGAAAGGTGCATCATTATCAGTGCATACCCAGCAGGCAGCCAAGGGCAACAACCAGGACCACTGCACATGCCTCTAGTTTGCTGGAACTGGCCTTCCGGTCCAAGTATCTGTTACATACAAATGGAGCCAAACTACCTGTATTTCCCATGGGAAGAGATCTGCTATGTAGTCTTCATTTACTTTCCTCTAGCAAGCCTCTTGAACACAGCACAGGACACCACTACTATCAAGAAATAACATTCTCTACCTCTTTCTATCAATGCTGCTTGCTATACGTAAGCAAGAATTTAATGACAAAAGTCCCAAATAACGCCAAAGCATCTTAACGAAGTATCTAGGTGTCCCCTTTATTGATCCAGATACATATTATTAAAGAAAACAATACTCAATGATATTTGTTAAAGTACAACAGGAATGTACTACTCAGGAACACAGTGATGGGTACGGGGAACAATACAATGGTGTTGCAGTGGAGAAATGGGGCTCAACTCTGAATGCTGCATGACAAGAGAGAGCTATGGTTAAAGAGCAGTGTGTGGTCAGTGGACAGAAAACTCAGAGGAAACGTCTGGGAGAGGAGGATTCTGGCTGAAGTGATCTAGTAAGATTCTTGCTGAAGACAGGCTAGGTGATCAGATATCACCTGCAGGACAAGGATCCTGACCAGATAAGGATGATAATCAGATACTGGGCATGGGGGTGGAGGGTTATCCTTGCCAAACGGCTTTAACAGATGGGCTAGGAGAATGTTCTGACAGAAAGGTTAAGCAAAGAATGCTTTTCAACACACACACACACACACTCACACACACACACACACACACATACACACACACACCCTGGTAACTAAATTATAGGGAGACATTCAACTTTTACTTTGAAGAATGTGAAGCTACCATCTAAATATTTATGGAGAGAGCAGCAAGCCAGAAAGTACACTGTGGTAACTGTTCAGATCTATTAACTCACTTATCACCTCCCCCAGTAATCCTGTAACATTAACCCTGGATAAGCATACTCTACAGACCAGCTTTTAGGGACAGTGGGAGAGTTACCCCATTGGAATTGGACTGGTTGGGTTCCTAGTGCCTTTGGCCTGGTGTGGATTAGTTGTTTAATGGTATCTAAAGGTTGGCTGAAGAATTGCCAGGTTTGGAGACAAAACGTTTTTCAATATTTATTTAAATTTAACATCAGCATAAAACAGTTTCAGCCTCAGCTTCCAAAGCAATTATCAGCACAGCTCACAATTCCTGATTAAACATTCCAAAGAAAAAGAACAAACAATAATGACATTGTACAATCAACACTGTTACCAGACTATCTTTTTCTGCAGTATTTCCTCAATTTCCACTCACTCATGTGCTGCTGGGGCTCACACCCAGGGTCCCACGCCTGCTAAGCAAGTGCTCTACTATGGACCTGCCCCCCTGCCCCCAGGTCCTCTAGTAGTTCAAACCTTCAATGTTTTGCTAAATATTTACCAGAATAACTTAAGAACATTCCTCTTTTGTTTTGGGGGGTTTGTTGTCTTTTTTTCTTTTTAAAAATATTTTATTATTTTTATTTCATGTGTATGTATGTATTGCCTGCATGTAGGTAAATGCACCCGTGTCATGCAATGCCTGCGGAATACGGACAGCTGTTAGCTGCCATGTGGGTGCTGGGATTTGAACCCCAGTCTTCTGCAAGAACAGTCAGTGTTCTTAATCGCTGAGCCATCTCTCCAGGCTCTGTCTTTTGTTTTTCGAGACAGGGTCTCCTTGTAGCCCAGCTGGCCTAGAATTCATCATGTACACCAGGCTGGCATCCATCTCCCAGAGATCTTCCTGCCTCTGTTTCCTGAGTGCTGGGGTTAAAGGTGTGTGCCACCAGGCCTGGCTAAGATCATCTCTCTTTTTAAAATAATGCCTTGCTGTATAGTGTAACTTGGCCTTGTGCATGAGCTTTTCCCACCTCAGCTTCCTGACTGCTGGGATGTGCCACCATTCTTAGCTATAATAATCTTAAAAGTTAAGAAAAGGCGTGACCCATGCTGGGCAAAGGCTTTCCAGTGTGCATACCCTCAGGTCATCCATACACCTTAGCAACCCTTCAGTTATCTTGGTAAGTAAGCTCAGTAAATTCATTGGTTCCCCTGTAAAACTTTAATCAAACACTGGTTTGACACTAGAAAGGGAATAAACCACTGCTTAGTATCCCAAGGAAAAGAATTCTCACAACAGATGGAAAATTTATTAATGTTATTGTCTTATAATTATTTTTTAAAAAAGAATGAGAATATAAAAGATGTTAAAAGGATATGGGAGTAGAGATATTTTTCCAAAATAGAAAAAAATGAGAAAGCCAAAGCAAGTGATGAAGGTCTGTGTAGGTTTGTTTCTACGGTCATAGTATCTATCCAGTCAAGGTTTATCTGAGAACATTTGGTTTTTAACCAAGCTTTATCTACATAGCACATGGTAATTAAAAGTACCAGACTGGTGAACTAATCTTATTGGATGTTTAACAGCCATACTTTGAGGCCTATACTAATGTGGTCAGAGGGACTTAAAGGACAGTTTTTGCCCTTTTCCCTCCAAGGTCAACTAAGTTCCAGTGGACTATGGAACATCTCTCAAAATGTCCTGTAACTGTGGTGAGTCACCTGTCCTCTTGTTCAGGGAGGCCATGGAAGCCCTACCAGATGGACCTGAACCAGTGTTCAGTCTACAAAAAGGAGGGAGGAGGGTCAACTCAGAGGAAACATCTCATT